TATACCCCATTCCAGACAGCCAAGCAGTTCAAGAGTGCCCCTGAGCTGAGTCCCCTGTCTGCTGGTGTTCGGTCTTCAGGGTCCGCAAGTGGTCTGAACCTAAGGGTACCCAGACCCCGCTTCTGTACATCAAGCATGGGTCTGCAACCAAATGTGTGGAGGCCTGGCTCCATACATTACTGAGAATCTACCATGACACTAATTGCCACCCTGGGCAAGAGCAGTTCAGTGCTTGAGCTCTGTTCTGCGTAATGAATCTTTCAACTACAGTAATATGATAAAATCATCAGTCAGAGATTTATTTGTGCATGTTCACAACTGTAGCACACACGCCTAACATTAAAAATAGAGTATGCAGCTATATTATAGTGGATGTAAACATCTGTATATGTGTTATTCAGAATGTTGAGATATTTATGTACTGTGCAGACAACATTCTTGTTTCTTAGTTTGCTAATTTCTGTTACACTATATGAATATCCATCAGAAATGCACAGCCACATCTTGTGAGAACAACTAAATAAAATATAAGCAATGATCAGTTTTGACATTATGTACAAGGGGCCACAAGGAAGAAAATGGTAATAATTAATTGTCTTGTTATTTTTTTTCACTTGGGGCCACAAAGATGTATTAATGAACGGTAAGTATACATGGCAGAGTCCTATCAGGTCAGAAGATAATGAAAGGCAGAGTCATTGAAGATTTGTGTACAAGTTGTTTTATAGAATGTTTTAAGACAAGAGTTGTGTTAGAGTCTCAGTGACAGAGAGATAAAAAAAGTGTACGAAGAATGTGGCTTGAAATGAAAAAAAGATGAAGAATCCTCAAGTGGAGAGATGGTACAACGCCCCACCCCCGCACCCTCCTGCTCTTGAATTGCTTTCTCATCTGGCCCCTGCCATGCCCTTTTCATCTGATTTTATGCTTTATTTCTCTAAACATCTCTTGAGGTTGGATTGCAGGCCTGTGTTTGTCTAGAGCATCGCACAAAGCCTTTGCTTCTTGTTTGACGAGGATCAGTATGGATGCTTGATGCATGTGCTCATTTTATCCTCATAATGCTGCGAATGCCAAGGTTTTGACTGAGCATTTAGAGAAGCATGTGAAAACCCCACTGCGGGGTATTGTGCTAGGGCTTTTTCATATGACAGCTGAAAATATACACTAGATGACAAATTCTGAAAGCGCTGGTTTATCTTTATGACATATTATGCGAATGTGACATCTGACCACTTTCCTTGGTGCTTGCTCTCATTGTGAATGATGCTTTTGCCAAAAAGGCATGACATCCATTTCAATCACTTGTGTGAGCTGTTCAACAGCATTTGTGAACTTGTATAGGCCTAGTTGAACATTGCTTGCTTTGCTTTTATCAGAAAATAACCCAATGGCCTTGGTGGAAATGAAAACAATCTGGAATGGTGGGTACCATTTCTCTACTAAGGTTAAGAAGGTTGATTGGAAGTAAAACTGTAATGTACAGTGTTGTTATTCAGGTGATAAAACATGGGAAGGATGTGAATGAAAGGTATGAAGCAAGATATGTAACTTTAAAGCAAGGATAGAGAGGAAAGTGCCTTTTGGTCATTAAATAATGTTCAACATTTTCACGAGTGTGTATTAAAAGGCTCGCCAGAATGTATTTCATGCTTTTACATAGCATTTTAAAAGCTTTGATTCTTTAGTAAATGTGTTATACTTGTGTTAAATATGAGAAAATTGTAATGATATAAAATGAATTACAGTGCTTTATAGTGGAATTATGTACAATGCAAATAGTAAGAGAATGGAAAGTTTAATGGATTTCATAACTCTAAGCTTGTGGAAAGGGTAATATGAGAATGAATTTGTACTGAGTTAATAAAGGGCAACGAAAATAAATGAAAAATGCCAATTGTGATTGTCTGTATGTTCATTTAGTTGTTGAGGCGATATCGTCTTACAAGGATGTACTGTAAATAATTGCGTGTAAGTGCTATGCCCACATTGAAGCACATAGTAAATAATATAATTTATAATCCCACAAATTTATCTGAAATGTTGAGGGTACAATATTCAGTAATCATAACAGACCCCTGAGTGGCGCTGTTGTGCGAAATTGAACAAGTATTTTGTGTTTACACAATGACAGACAGCTCTTTTAAAGTTTTACCTCGGATACCCAGCTCAGCTCATAGTAAGTAATATTCTTAGGTTTATAATGTAATAAATAGAAAAAAAATCCAAACGTTAAGAATATTTGTCAAGTAATGGTCGTGTTCAAAACATAGATAAATGCACACTTTTGTTGTAGTTCTGTAAACAACTGTGCACGGCTTAGCAGATCTGTAATCTTACCCTCGCTCAGTAAAACTGCCTTCGGACCCCTCTGCTCTACCATACCGCATGATCATATTTCACAAAATATCAGGCGCTAACTTTAGCCAAACTGTGTGTATCCGTCATGACGAGCCACATTCTGTTTCTGTCAGACGCCCCTGCTCGTGATGGTTGGTACTACAGGCGCTCATCTCTCCTGTTTGAGGCCAGGTAAAAACAAGCTTCATTATTGCACTTAATTTGTACCCAGCAGGTTTTCTTGACATGCTTTTATTTGAAAGACAAATTTGACGGTGAACAGACTGTATATGAAAGACTACAACTCATAATTACTGTCGAGACTGCTGAAGTGCAGCTGTAAACACTCGACTCCTCTTCAGGGCCAGTATTTTTTGTGGAGGTCTGCCATTGTTTCTCAGAGTTACAACCATGATCACTAAATAAATAAATAAATAAATATTCATAAGCAAAACTATTATCAATATTATCAATTTCCTGTTAATAATAAACAACCAGTGTAGCTGATATACTATACTTACTGATTAGGAGACTGGATTCATAGATGGATAAATGAACATACAATATTTTAGGGGGGGTGTGACTGATTTGTGTATCTTTTTAATTGTTTAATTGTTTTGTTTTTAACTGTTTGGGTCATTTGCGAATTTGTTCCATTACCAAAAACTATACATATAAAAAAGTTGTGTAAATAAATAAATATATATATATATATATATATATATATATATATATATATATATATATATATATATATATATATATATACACACACATATTTATTTATTTATTTACACAACTTTTTTTTTTTTTTTACAGCTCTTCACTTTTAACATTACAATAATTTCAGTAATAATAAATAATTTGCTACAGTGGAATGGAAAAAAAAAGTGCAAACAACCTAGGGTTGGGTAATAAAATAGGTATTTATTGAACAAACACCGTTGTCAATATCGATGATAAAAAACGTTTGGTATGTGGTTTCGATATGAAGCTATATAGTTTTATTAAAATGTGGCTTCTGAGCACGCGCCTTGGAAGCAATGCCAATAAGCTTAAGGTGGCTTTTTGGTTTCTTTTCTTGTACATCCCAGCCACTAGCTCCTTATCTGAAAGATTTTTAGCACAGTGGGTAATGTAGTCATTCAACTTCACAGTTTGTAACGTTCTACATGTATTTGAATAATGATGACTGGTTACTTTACTTGTAAGCTCAGAGTTAATTATCATATTATTATTATTATCATAATTAGTGTTGTTTACAGAGTTTAAGGTTTACTGCATCTCTATTACTGACACCTTACAGATGTTGATCTACCTTTACCATTGCACACACTTTGTAACGTTTTATTTATCACGTTTAAGATTCTCTTTAACTCTTCTGTTTGTTTTATTATAAAGAGATCAGATATTTTATATACATTTTTCTGCTTTTGTCTATTAAAACTATTTGCCATAGTAATGTTGTTAAAATAAAATAAAGTGGTTAAAAAATAAAATAAAAAAGCCTAATATTCCTAAATGTATTGCTAAAAAATATTCAATAATTATCAATATCGAGTGAAATGAAACATGATATAATGATAATTTTTGTTAGCACTTTTGCCCAGCCCTAACACAACCATTAAACTTACAAAAAAACTTTAATGAATTCACTACTAATTTAATGAACCTTAATGAATTTAATTACTAATAAACTGAATTTATAACATAATATAATAAAAACACAGGAAAACATAATTAAATTGTTTTTGTGCTAAATTTTAATAAAACACATACCCAAAACAGAATGAAAATAAATGAAATACATCATACAAATTAGCCAATAATTCTCCCAAAATGTCAAGTCATGTCATCTTTATTTGTCTTTACAGAAGCAGCTTAAAAAAGAGAGATAAAAAGGATAAACAACAATTACAATATTTCAGACTGTAAAAACAGTCTTTTTAAAGGAAACTGAAAAAATATTAATTGGATTTACTTTTTTTAAGGTACAGTGAAAAAAAACACATATTTTTGCATGTTTAAACTACTTAATTAAAATGATCTGAAACAACACAATTCTTCAACAGAATTTCATTGGGACAACTTAATTTTTTTATGTTCAATCAACATGAATTTGTTAAAAGTGTTAAGTTAACCTAATTGATTTGTGTTGGGTCAACATGATTGAATTACGTGGAGCCCTGCATTCTTTACATTGTAAGTGGTTGCAAACAATTTACATGAGCTGAATTTAAACAAACAAAATAAATGTGGTTTTGTTCAACTTAATTTGTTTGTTTAAATTCAGCGCATATAAATAACTTGCAACCACCTACCTTAAACAAATTTAGTAAATCCAATGAATCTATTTCAGTCTATTTGCTTGAAATTGTGACTGTTTTAAAAATATAGACCATATAGAAGTTGGCATCCTAATTAAATATTCAATTAAAATACTACCAACATGCAGAAAAGTTTAAATGTTTAAGAAACACAGAGGGTAAGTGAAGGTAAGAGACTGAAATCAGAAGTGGGACACAGTTAACCTTTTTCAGGTCCTCCCTGAAAACCTTTTGCTCTTCGTTGCTCTAAATTTAGACCTAAAAGTATCTGCAAGAAAAGTATCCATCAGCTCGGTGTGTCTGTAAAGCACTGAACCAAACCCCCACCCCGCTCCTCAAGACCTCCCATTCTAAACGCTCCTGAGATTTCACTCTTCTTGGGATGTAGAAGAGTGCAGTAACCCTGGCCAACTTGAAACAACTGGATTAACCTAAAAAACAGTCCTCTTGGGGAGCTCAAACTGTGATTTGATTTGCTTTGTGAAACACTGGTCTTAGTTTTCAGGTAAGAGGAGTCATTATGTTCATATTGCACAGGGAGAAATGCAGGTGATCAAATGTTATAATGAGCACTTAATCTGGACACGCTGGTGCCGAGATGTTAGGAGTATGTCAAGATGATTTATTATTGTTTGCAAATGGTAAAAATATATGTGGTTCTTGGAGAGAGCTGCCTCCTTCTGCATATCATAAATCATATACAGATCTAATAAACGTGGAGCACACTGGATCTCCTTCACATCTTAAATTAATTATGCATAAACACACAAATACAAATACATAGCACTCCAGGGCTCTTGTATTTAAATAAATACTTGGTTAATAATTTAATGGTGAAGTTTATGCTGAACTGTTTGAATTATTATTTATTTACTTTAGTTTTTTGGCAAGTTGAAATGCAGAAATGTTTTTTTTATCAGCTCCTAAAATATGTCTTGAATATGGTGTTCGGGATCCTCCAGCTTGCCATTGCAAGGGTTCAGGAGGACATTTAAGGAATTTGCTGACTAGATACCCATGGTGTATTTATTTAGTGTGCTAAAACAAAAATATCCCTCTTCGCAACAAGAGACCGGTGTTGCTGATCAGCTTAAAGTCTTACTAATTGACCATATTTTAAATTACTGTACATTATATTTATGTGGTTACACTTTTTATCCTTGTTACACCTTAAATTTGCTCAATATATAGTAATGACAGTAAATTTTGCATAATTATGTGCAAAACTTTTGGTAAGTAAATTTTGATAAATAATATTGCTGTACTTGAAGTGCTTTAAATCCTGTAATTAGGACACCTATTATTGTATGTTGTTTAAACATTGTATGACATTATAAAATCCTCAAGAATAGAACACAACTAGAAAAATGACTGCTGTTGTTGATGTCCTATGATTTTTACTTGCTCTAAAAGTGTGTCAAATACAAAAAACAGAAATGAAAGTGTACAATAAAAATGTAAATAAATAAATGAAATAAAATAAATCATTTAAAAATGATTATGTATCTATTTACAGTTGCAATCAGAAGTATTAGCCCCCCTGAATTATTTGCCCCCCTTTTATTTTTTCCCAATTTTTGTTTAACGGAGAGAAGATTTATTTTTTCCAACATATTTCTAAACATAATAGTTTTAATAACTCATTTCTAATAACTGATTTATTTTATCTTTGCCAAGATGACAGAAAATAATATTTGACTAGATATTTTTCAGGACACTTCTATACAGATTAAAGTGACATTTAAAGGCTTAACTAGGTTAATTAGGTTAACTAGGCAGGTTAGGGTAATTAGGCAAGTTATTGTTTAACGATGGTTTGTTCTGTAGACTATCCAAAAAAAAAATAGCCTAAAGAGGATAATAATTTTGACCTTAAAATGTTTTTTTTAAATTTTTTAACTGCTTTTATTCTAGTTGAAATAAAACAATTAAGACTTTCACCAGAAGAAAAAAATATTATCAGACATACGGTGAAAATTTCCTTGCTCTGTTAAACATAATTTGGGAAATATTTCAAAGAAAAAAGGGGGGGCTAATAATTCTGATTGCAACTGTACATAAAAATTCAAAAATATAAATGAAATAAAATAAATCATCAAGAATAGAACATAACCAATAAATGCATTTATTTATTTACATTTTTATTGTTTGATTCTGTTTACTGTATTTGACACACTTTTGGAGCAAGTAAAAATCACAGGACATCAACCAATTTTATAATATCAAATTAATGTTTGAACAACAGACAATAATATGTGTAAAATTACAGGTTTAAAGCACTTCAAGTACAGTAATATTATTTATCAAAATGTATAGATTTAGGGATAATAGCATATAATTATGCAAAATTAAATTGTACAATAAAAATTTAAATAAATAAATGCAACATGTAATATAAACATTTAATCTGTGAAAATGGAGGAGTTGTGGTAATTTGTATCTTTTCAAACTTTAAAATTCCTCCTGGCCACAGAATTCATTTTATTTCAGAATAAAAAGCATGTATGTTTATGATAAACATTAATCATTTTGTTGATATGTTAAGCATTTCAGTAAATTTAAAGTAATTTAGTAAAATACTTAAGCTCAAAAAAATATTTTTGCTGCTTGTTTAAACTACTTATTTAAAATAAGCTGAAACAGCACAATTCTTGAGATTTTATTAGGACAACCTAATTTGTAATGTTCAATCCAAAAATTTGTTAAAAGTGTTAGGTTAACTCAATCAATTTATGTTGGGACAACATGAATGAATTGTGTGAAACCCTGCATTTTTACAGTGCAATTCTGAGTTTTATTTTGGAACAACTTAATTGTTTTATGTTAAATCTACTTAAATTTGTTAAAACAATTAAGTTAACCTAATGGATTTGCTTTGGGATGACAAGAAGGAACTGTTTGGAACCCAGCATTTTTAGAATAAATTATAACTCGAGTTATATTTATTAAAAAAAAGATAGTTTTACCTTTCAATCTCCGGTTTAATTCCTATAATATTCTTTCAGATAATGCATGCCAATAAATAATGTTTGCCCATCATCTTCCACTTCAAATGTTTTCATATTTAATTTGTTTGCTCAGACTGCAGTGATGCCTGTCACTGGAACACCTGATCCAACCAACAAGAGGAAGAATCCTTCGAAAATCATCACAGACTTCTCAAACATCTCACAACATGGTCAGTGGCATCCACACACACACAAATACTCACAACATGATAACAACATTGCTACTCACTTGTGATATGCTGTGAAGAGCAAATGAGTGTTGTAAATGTCACACTTAATTACTAAAGTCCTTCTTGGTGTCCAGTGTCAACATTAAGAGCCAGAGCCAGAAATACCAAACAACCCCCAGGCTCTTGGTAAATATCTCGAGGTTCAAATCCCCACTGAAGAACAGTTAATTTATAGAGCGCATTAGTGCCACTTTTTCTGCAGCCCTGTACGAATTCTAATTATTTTTTCTGGGCATCTGTATTTTATTGAAGTGTTTCAAGCCATAAATCAAACCAAACACAGTTGTGAGGTGAACATCACAACAAGCTAAGATGTTTAGGAAAATGTATGTATAAATGTATTTGTTAGAAAAAAATTCTAAATAAAAAACATTTTCTTATGATATTTCTTCAAAATTTTGTAATTTTCATTCATTAATTTTCCTCCAGCTTAGTTCCTTATTTATCAAGGGTCGCTTCATCGGAATGAACTGCCAACTATGTTTTACACAGCTCCTTTCCAGCCACAACCCAGAACTGTGAAACACTCATACACTCTCACATTTACAGTTGAAGTCAGAATTATTAGCCCCTTTTTGATTTTTTTTCCCTCTTTTAAATATTTCCCAAATGATTTTTAACAGAGCAAGGAATTTTTCACAGTATGTCTGATAATATTTTTTCTTCTAGAGAAAGTCTTATTTGTTTTATTTCGGCTACGATGAAGGCAGTTATTAATTTTTTTATAAACATTTTTGGGACAAAATTATTAGCCCCTTTAAGCTAATTTTTTTTCGATAATCTACAGAACAAATCACTGTTATACAATAAGGCCTTATTACCCTAACCTGCCTAGTTCACCTTATTAACCCAGTTAAGCCTTTGAATGTCACTTTAAGCTGTATAGAAGTGTCTTGAAAAATATCTAGTAAAATATTATTTACTGTCATCATGGCAAAGATAAAATAAATCAGTTATTAGAAATGAGTTATTATTCTTAGAAATGTGCTGAAACAATCTTCCCTCTGTTAAACAGAAATTGGGGAAAAAAATTAACAGGGGGCCCAATAATTCAGGGGGGCTAATAATTCTGACTTCAACTGTACACTCGTACACTACAGCCTATTTTGTGTACCCTATTCAACTGTGCATGTCTTTGGACTGTGGGGAAAACCAGAGGAAACCCACGCGAACACGGGGAGAAGATGCAAACTCCATACAGAAATAATATCTGGCCCAGCTGGGACTCGAACCAGCAACTTTCTTGCTTTGAGATGACAGAGCTAACCACTGAGCCATCGTGCCACCCTTATGCTGTCATTTTAATATTTAAAAAATAAAATAACAACAAACAAAGAACAAAAAACACTTTAGTTACGAAATATTTAGGTATAAATCCATATTTGGTGAAATAACCTTGATTTTAAATCCCAAAAAATGCTGGAAAAGACAAATGCTTCATTTGAAATCTTGTAGAAATCTTATAAGACCTTTTAGAATAAAACAAATTTTACCAATTGATTCAAACTGCAGTGTAAAAAGCAATTAGTTACTTGAAAAAAAAGACTAAAAGTGAGTAAATGTGTTGTAACTTTTAAGCTGATTTAATTTTTATCATTATGCACATGATTAATTTACTTAATAATTAATAAGGCGACGGTTTTACTCTTTTTTTTTTTAGGTAAAGAAGTCAACTAATTGTTTTCTACAATGTACACAACCTGACAAATCTTGTTGTCTATCCTAGTTTTAGAAAAAACTAATAATAACTTGACTTCTAGTTGATCATTTGATATCAGAAGTGGCTAATATGAAAGGCAAAGGCCTCTAGATTATGTTTATTTTAGCAAAATAAAATATGTGTCAGGGTTCTGCCACTTTGGTCTTGTAAATTCTTGTTTTGGTGGCAGAGCTCTGACACTACTCAATGTCTGGTCCTGTTTCTGTCTCTGTGTGCGCGCGCGCCGTCGTGGGTGTACGCAGAGTGTGCGCGCTGCCACATGATGTGGCCGCGCGCGCTCTGCGTCCCTCAGACGCGTGCGCTCTTGTACTCGTGTTTGTGTTTTCGTCTGTCAGCAGCGTGGTGTTTCATTCCCAGCGTCTCAGTCTTTTTGGTTTCGGTTTTGGTCGGCGCTGGGATGAAGCATGCACGCTGCGTGTGTGAGCTCACGGTGATTGCTTTCATTCATCGGGTGCTCGTGTCTTGCGTCTTTTGTCAAAGCACGTGGCTCGGTGTTTACATTGTGGTCACGTGCTTTTGTCGTGTGCTTCAGTGTTGTGTTATGTGAGCGCATGGCTTGTATTGTCTTTCTGTGTCATGCGCTCTCCCGTCTATTGTCTAGTCCCACCCTCCTTGTCAACCCATTATTAGTTAATTGTGTTCACCTGTGTGTCAATTTACTTTTTGCTTTATAATCTCCCTCATGTTTTCAGTCCTTTGTCAGTTCGTCGTCGAAAGTTTCCTGTCCTGTTGTGTCCAGCCCTGTCTTGTCCAGTCAGTCAAGTTTGTTTGTTCTTTTATTTGTTTCATTAGAGTTTTACCCCCTCGGGGTTGTTTGTTTTGCCTTTTTGTTTTCATTTTATTATTAATAAAAAACCCATTATTGCTGCATCTGAGTCCTCGCTCCTTTTTCCCCTCACCGAACGTGACAATATGTTCATGCCTTGATATTTAATTATTTAATTTAGACAGTAAGGTCGGACTTTGTTTTGACAAAAGTTGCGTCACTTAATAGAAATAATGTACAGTATAGAACATAAAGTCATGATGCAGTGGAAAAAGAGTTAATATTGTGTATGACTCCCATGAGCTTGGACTACTGCATCCACACATCTCTGCAATGACTCAAATAACTTACTAATTGAGTCATCTGGAATGGCAAAGAAAGCATTTTTGCAGGACTCCCAGAGTTCATCAAGATTCTTGGATTCATCTTCAATTCCTCCTTCATCTTACCCCAGATATGCTCAATAATGTTCATACCTGGTGACTGGGCTGGCCAATCTTGGAGCACCTTGACCTTCTTTGCTTTCAGGAATTTTGATGTGGAGGCTGAAGTATAAGAAGGAGCGATATCCTGCTGGAGAATCTGCCCTCTCCTGTGGTTTGTAATGTAATGGGCAGCACAAATGTCTTGATAGCTCAGGCTGTTGATGTTGATATTCACTCTGCAGATCTCTCGCACACCCATACTGAATGTAACATCAAATCATGACTCTTCTTCACCAAACTTGACTGATTTCTCTGAGAATCTTGGGTCCATGCGAGTTCCAATAGGTCTTCTGCACTATTTGATATGATTGAGATGATTAATTTAACAGATGATTAATCTACCTTTGCCACTTTTCCAAATGATTAATTGAAGTCAAGTTATTATTTGTTTTTCTTACAACAAGAGTTTTGTCAGGTAGTGTGATTGTTCCTAATGAATTATTGTGTTAAGTTTTATTTTATATGTATATTTTTTATACCTGTATTTTTAAAGTGTAAAGAAAGATCAACTGAATTACATTATTTGCGATGCTTCATAGAGCTGATGGCTATATTTGCTTGATGCGACTCTCTATTAAACATGATTGAATTAAATAAGTAAATAAGTTGAATTGATGCAAACCGTTAACTTATCGATATCCAGAATTATGATATACAATTTATACACACTCACACAACAGGTCTGTCTTTAAAGATGAACACATCATTGTTAAAAATCAGTGTTAAAAGGTGTTAAAGCAGAGCCACAAAAAGTATAACACACATTTGTAATAAGCCCATAACAACTACTGTATAGCAAACAACAAGTAGCTGTGTCTCAGTTTCTAAGAATAGAAACAGTTTGAATTGGCTTTAATGCACTATCATTAGGTTCAGTGAAAATGTCACGTTTGAACTAAATCAGCACACTAGAATGTTCTTTCTTGTGCTGAAGACATGGGTTATCAATTCCCCCAGTGCAATTACTCATCTTAGCTTTGATATAAAAACACACTAAAAATGCCTGTCTAATGAGTGGTTAGCCAGTGCTGTTTGTAGCTGGCCAATTATTCCGCTAAACAGAGCTAAATCTCAAAGACATTGTCAAACTGTGTGACTTCACAGCTTTCCTCTAATGAGCAGTTCAGTTATTAGGTGCTGTGTGTGTGTGTGAAGGTTGTTTAGTGTACTAGATTCTCCCTCTTCATCCGCTTGGCAGTGTGCTCATCATGGGCAGTTTGTTTACAGGACAACATTCTTGCAGCTCGCGTTTCAGCGCCAAATAAATTAACAGCAGAATTATTGCCAATAAGAAGGACTGCTCAGCAGAGATTACTAGCTGCTTCAAATTATTTAACTTCAGTCTGTTTCAGCAGATTGTCACGCATGCACACATTGGGACAAATATACTGGGCAATTTAAGCTTTATTAAAACTGATTACAAACACTTAGTTCCAGTTTGTGCATACATTTTTTACCATTTGTTCACTTGTTGGGTTTTTTGCATGTTGTAAAGAGTGGGGATGGGCAATATCTCATCTCTTGATTCTGATATTTTAAAAATGCATCACCATTCTCTTTTGAATTGATTCAGAACTTGGGTTTCAACAACAAATAGTGGTCTAGGGTAGATTTTAGCTGTACACACAAACGTTCACCAGGAAAAGCGCTTATGTGTTTGGCGACTCATGCAAGTTTTTTCAACATAGGCTCATTCTGAAAATGTAGCCCTATATACATTTCTGGAGATCGTGAGTTATGTAGCCAGAAGTGCTATTGGCTACATTTCATCTTTAAAATGAATGTTATTTCCTTTTTTGTTCCTTTTCGTACTTACCAGCTGACCGTTTACCTCTGTGTGGACGGCTTTCCCGCTGTTACAAAGTTGTGTAGTCAGCTCGCCAAGTACGTAGGTGGACTTAAGACGCAGATAGAAGTTGACTATGACGACAGGGTTCGAGTCTGGCAAAGAACTGTTCTAGAAAGCAAA